CCCAAGCGAGTGCGCAACACTTTTTTTCAAGCATTGAGTAACGGGACTCACAATCTGTGAAATTTTTACTCAAGTAATAAATCGCATGCTCTTTCCTTCCTGTCTCGTCGTGTTGACCGAGAACACAACCCATACTATTCTCAAGAACCGTTAGATACATGATTAATGGTCTTCCAGCGACTGGGGGTATCAGTATCGGAGGCTCCTGCAAATACTGTTTTATCTTGTCGAATGCTCTTTGACAATTTTCGTTCCAGACCACCGCCTGATCTTTTTTTAACAATTTAAACATTGGTTCCCACGTGGCTGTTAGATGAGATATTAACCGAGTGATGTAGTTCAACCTCCCTAAGAAACCACAGACCTCTTTTTCAGTCTTCGGTGCTGGCATTTCTTGAATAGCTCTTATTTTTGCAGGATCTACCTCGATTCCTTTTCTACTGACGATAAACCCCAATAGCTTTCCGGACCGAACTCCGAAAGTGCACTTATTTGGATTCAACCTCAATTTGAACTTCCTCAACCTCTCAAACAGATTCAATAGATTGACCAGATGTTCTTCCTCTGTCTGGGACTTTGCGATCATGTCATCAACATAAACCTCAATCTCATGATGAATCATATCATGAAACAAAGTCACCATTACCCGCTGATAAGTTGCCCCTGCATTTTTCAACCCAAACGGCATCACCTTATAGCAAAATGTTCCCCACGGTGTAATGAATGTTGTCTTCTCCATGTCCTCTGGTGCCATTTTTATCTGATTATAACCGGAGAAGCCATCCATGAAGGAAAACACCGAGAATTGAGCCTTATTGTGAACCAATACGTCAATGTGGGGGAGCGGGAAATCATCTTTTGGGCTCGCCCTATTCAAGTCTCTATAATCAACGCACATTCGTACCTTACCATCCTTCTTAGGTACGGGTACAATGTTGGCGACCCATGGAGGGTAAGTTATCACGGCTAAAAATCCTGCGTCCAACTGCTTTTGAACTTCTTCTTTGATTTTTACTGCCATGTCTGGTCTCGTCCTCCTAAGCTTCTGCTTGACGGGTGGACATTCTTCCCGAAGTGGCAATCGATGAACCACAATGTCAATATCAAGTCCGGGCATATCTTCGTAAGACCAAGCAAAGATGTCACTGTACTCTCGAAGCATCTCTATCAACCTTTGCTTGATGTCTTCTTGCAATGTAGCCCCTATCCTGACATTTCTAACAACCTCTTCAGAACCCAAGTTGACGATCTCAATCTCTTCTTCATGAGGCAGAATGACCTTTTCTTCTTGTCTTAAGAGTCTAGCCAATTCCTCAGGCAAGTCTTCATCCTCATCAATCTCTTCTTCAGCTTGGAATACCGGGTTATCAAAGTCGAAACGAGTCATAGAAGATTCTTGGTCGGTGTCATCTGCAATGATATGAGACCTGCAATGAAAATGGTTAAGTGCTTCAAATGATATGCAAACAAACACATTGCCATTTTATTGTTAAAGATAAAACAAGAAAAACAGAGATCTCAAAATTTGAATGGAAAAACGCCCTTCGATTAATAGATGAAACAATATTCAAACATAAACAAGACAAGCCCTAAAATAACAAACCGCTATGCTTCGGGTAGAACATAGGGTCGTACAATAATTGAAGAACAGAGCATTACTGTTCATTGGTCACTTGGGCAAATTCCTTAATGGACCAGTTGCATAGACGATGTCCTGGAAGGCATGGCTTGATCCAGGCATCCATGTCGCAGTCACTGTCTCCAGCTTCATCCTCAGAAATGGCATTGAGCTGCTCGAAGAAGACACCTCCGCTGGTAAACCTGATCGGCCCCTTGAACTTCGGTGTGCTGTGAAGATGATGGGTGGTACCCCGGACCGAATTTGTCTTGCTTCTGAGGGATATCAATAACTTGCCCCCATCCTTGTGCTGAGCCAGCTTGCACCACAGTTTGCGCTTCCTTGAAAGAAGACATAGCCACCTCAGGCTTTTTTCTCACTACTGACGCCTTATCCTTCAAATGAACGGTTTCGAACGCCTAACACAGGGTCTCATGAATTTCCCCATCTACCTCAACATACTTGAAAGAAGACAGATGACTAACCATGATGTCCTCCTGTCGCGGTGAAATTTGGATACCAAACTATTAATTAGCTTGAATCTTTAATTCATTTGCAACCGGTCTTTGATTTATCCGAGGGAAAGGTTAAAGGAAGGAAAACGTATTTTGCATTGTAAACACAACGCGGGGAGAGATCTAAGGTTTGGGGGTTGGTTAAACTTAGGGAAGGTATTAGCATCCTAAGTTTCTGTAGTACTCTACAAGAACCTCTTGTTTTATGTTGTTTATTGCCAAGTTATTTGCTTAAGGATAATGTTAAGGGTTAAAGGTAAAGAGAAAAGACCTAAGGGGTTAGTCCTAAATATACTCGCCAAGACGTCGCATCCTGTGCCTACATATCCTGACGGGAATGGAATCAGAGTATCTGTAGTTCCCCTAAAGGGTTTGAGGAAATATTGACTGTGAGTCAAAGTTCCAAAGGGAAATAAGCGTTCATATAGAAACTCTTACTTGGAGCGCGAAGACTCTTATCTACGTTAAAAGTTAAATTGAAAAGGATGAAGGTATGTCCACGACGGGATGCCTAAAAGGTGAGTACGGAGACTCAAATCCTAAGGCTAGGGTGAGGGTAAAGGTATTGACACGGGGGTCAAACATGTGAACCTTTCCTTCGAAGAGGATAAACGTTAAACAGAAAATTAAAGCAGTAACTGATTGAAAATGTAAAATAATAAGCAATGTGATAAGATATGGATGAATTGTTTGATTTAGTTAACTTAAAAGTTAGGAGTTGAGGTTAAAGATTTCCTTTTTTGAGAATTTTATGGCTGAGATGAAAATATGCCTAGAAATTTAATTAATTTGCAAATTAAAAGGGTTTATTTGTTTTTTATGATTTTTTTGATGAGTTATGTAATTAGAACCGTTAGGTTAAATAAGGTGTTGATTTAATGGTTAATGTTAAAAAAAGTGGTTATTTTTTAGGAGAAATACTAATTAACAAAGATTAAATAAGTCATAAAAAAAAGTTATATTTTACTTAAACCAAATTAGTTAGCTAATTAGAAATTTGAAAAAAAAAAGTTTCTCTTGGATTTTTAATATATATATTTTTTATGGATTTTCGAGTATATCATTAAGAGAGGTGAGATTCTAAATATTTTTATTTTTGTTATTTTTATAAATTGAAATCAAAATATTATTGATGAATTGAAGTTAAGAATATTAAAATAAAACTAAGTCAATATCAAACCTAAAAATTAATCAAACCTAAAAATTAATCATTTCTTTATTTCTTTTTTTAATGTTTAATAAAAATTATTTTTCAAATTTTTACTTTAGTCAGTAGTTAGTGATTGGTTAGTTTGTTAGTAATGTTTAATATTAATAATGAACAATTACATATACAAAATGAACCCAACCCAAATAAAATAAAATAAACAAAAACTAAATAAAATAAAAAACAACCAGGTCGATGGTGGTCATCCCACCGAACCCGGGTTGACCCGTCCCAACAGTAGAAGTCAAAAATTAGGGTTTAGAAAACCCTAAATCAGATCGAAACGGCGCCGTAAACCCCCTCTTTCGCTCTCGTCAATCTCCCTTTTGTTCCAACTCTTTTCTCGTTTCGCCTTCTTCGATTCACGTTCTCCTTTGGATTTCCTACAAAAAACAATCAACAAAGTTAACGGAGTGCATGTTAGTCGAAAAGCTCAACGTTTTCAATGGTTTTCAAGTTTTGCCTGTGGATGAATCGCAGACGGCGCTGAGGTGCGATTTTGGGGGTCCCAGCGACGACACTTTGTTGAAGGTTCGCGTCAGAGTTTTGAGGAGATAAGTCCTTTTCTTCGCGATGGTTTGCAGGGCTTCCGGTTCGCGAAATGTTGTGCATTCTGTCAGGGTTTGGTATGAATCTCTCTGTGTATTCCTTCAATCCATAAAAAAACAAGTTAATTGAGAACAATATTAATAATAAATAAAAATTTCATATTTGAATTGGGTTTTGCAGGTCTTTTGTTTTGCTGTTGTGGATGATTCACGGATCTGTGCGAGGATTTTGAAGAAGCTCCATCGGTGGCGAGGGCGGTTTGCGGTTTTGAACGAACAGAGATAAGTTCTCTTCTTTTCCGATTCACAGCACTAGGGTTTGGCTTTTTTTTTTGAATCCCCCCTGCTTTCCGAATTTCCTCTTCTTTTTATAATGTCTTAGAGAAATTTTGACTTGAATGTGATTAATGGAAGTTTCCTATTCTGTCAAAATCGTTTTTGGAAAATTCATTGATTATGCTTGCTAGTATTATCCAAAAGAATGAGAAGTTCCCTTTTCTGTATGATTTCCATTGTGTTTCAAAACCTGAATATCCTCTTTTCCTTATGCAAATACTCCTGATGATATCTCCTATTTCTGTTTGAGCGTAATCTTATTAACATCTTTGTTTTTTTTCCTTTTCTGAATCAACTCAATATGGTAGACAATATTTGGGAGGTTTAAATCTGCGGTAATTGTGTCGGCTGGCTGTTTTGTGACTTGGAAATATCTTGAGTTTTTGCATTTACACGGTATCCTCACATCTCTTCTCTTTATGTTACAGCTCGCACTTCAAACCAATTTGGGATAGGAAGGATTGGCTACCGAGGGAGATAACAGATGATTATCTTCGTGCTTACGAAGAAAACTTCAACTCTGAATGAACTCCCTCCATGGTTCGTACGCTTTGCAAGTCTTCTAAAAGCTTGTGGAGGTAATGAGTCTGATAGAGGATCAAGCAAGTCTATTTCGCCATAATTAGAGGTGGTTGGGGCGGATGATGCGGGTAAGCTAGTCCAGCTGGTGTATGGTAAAATAGCGGCATGAGAAACAAAAGGGTCACTAGAACAGCTAAAACCATGATTATATTAGAAACTACAGTCTGGGCTCCTGCATTGTAGTTAACAGCCGTTCAAGAAAACGATCCTGTCGTGACATAGCATGAAGTACAAGAACCAGCTATAAAAGTTGCAGTCAAAGCCAATTGAAGATAAATAGTAGGATCTTTAGTGAAAGAAACACTTTCACTCAACATTGATCCCATAACTAATGATGCAATTGAAACTGGTCCAACACCAACATGTCTTGAACTTCCAAGCAGAGCATATATCAATGGTGGCACAAAACTTGAATATAAACCAATAATAGGCGGCAAGTTTGCTAGTTTCGCGTAACTTATCCCCTGAGGGATGGAAAGACTAGCAATGGTGAGGCCGGAGACGATATCGGAACGGAGGAGTTTGAGATTGTAGTGGGAGCCCCATTGAAAAATGGGGAACAAGAATTGGAGAGTGAGAAGAAACTTGGTGAAGGACGGTTGGTTTTTGAAACGGTGTAGGGGATCATCAGGGAAGAATATTTCAGAGAGTCTTTGTTTGAGTTTTTTGAGTGAAGTTCGTTGCGGTGGTAAACGAACTTGATGAATAGGAATCTCAGTTTGGATTTTCATGGTGGATTCTTCGAAGTGTTCTACTCTGTTGCAGATCATACCCATGTTCTCTGATTACTCTTTCTTCCCTTCTTATGCATGTTGTAGATGCCGACAATGGGGCGTAAGCCGCGGCGTTTCCGCTGACGCTGAGGTTGAGGTTGAAGCAAACTGTTGTTTTTATGCTACAGCAGACAAGATATTCATTGTGGCGATTAAAACTTCTGCAGTGTATTGCTTATAGTTTCTTAATAAAATTGGCTTTGATTGTAGGATCAGGGAACACCTAGAGGCTCATGCCGGATCTCAATACGGTAAAACAACTTGCCTCTTCGTTTGATGGCGCCTCCTCGCTCTCGATGGAGTCTTGGAGTTACAACATTAAGAGCATAGTGGACAACTAGTATGGGGAAGGAGCTATTTAACTGTTTAGAGCCAACACCTATCCAGACCACTTTCCGCAAGTTTGGTCATTACGTGAAATAACTATATGATGTAACTTATAAATGTCCAATTTGTAAAGGTCTTTGAGTCTTGTAGGCATAGCATGCGAAAGAACACCGTCCTACTAGTTTGCAATTTCCTGATAATGTGTGCTTCGGGATTTACCCGTTTCTTTGTAATGTTCTTTTTCCTTTTTAGGAATTGTGACTTAGGATTCCAGGATGTAGTGTTGGAAGGAATTTGAATGGTTATCCAAGTTGTAATCCTTAAATGACTTGTGAATAAATTTAACTTGTGTGTTTTGCTTTGATGGTTGAAGTCTGATGGTGAACTTATGTATTGCCCATGGTATTTCAAGGCTACCAAGGTATCTAAGCCTTATCAATAAAACAAGATTCCAGGGGTGCGATGCAAGTAACTTCCTCAGGACTTTAATAGGTGGCTTGCCTAAAATAAATCCTAGAACGAAATCAACATGTTTTCCTTGCATTCTAATTATCTCAGCCACTGAAATTTAAATTAATCATGGCTTGCACCGTCTCTTAGACATAATCTTTAATTCATCAACTTGAATACACACAACTTAACCAACTAGATATAATTTTGAGACAATTTTGACAACTTTGCAACAACCATTAGCGATAAAGCCCAAACATGGCTTGAGACTGCGGGGAATTATTTCCTACACATTAACTCAATGTTTGACCATTCACAATTGCAACTTTACAACTTAGATCAACCTAATGAACTCACGCCTTACTTCCATAACTCCTCCTATATCTTGAGCAAAAATACATGTGTCTTGAATATTAATTTTGAAAACCAATCTGAATCCAGTTAAATCAAGGCCCATCAGAATAAGGGCACATTCTCCTCTCTCATCCCTATGAATTCAACGTAACTTAATGGGTATATACAGAGGAATTCTCAAGACTTTCACACTTTCTTCGACAAACCTGCAAAACAAACAAACTAGACAAAATGATTAGCTAAAGCGAAAGAAGGACTTAAATAATATGCAAGAAAACGCGTAAAGAGGTGGGATTTTAAGGTCAAAAATTAGGGTGCAACACCTCCTCTCCACATACTGTCACAACACTGCCACCGACCATGTATTTCAACTTCTGATGCAGAGTCGATGTGACAGCCCCAGCTGAGTGGATCCATGGTCTGCCTAACAAACACCTATAAGCAGGTTGAATGTCCATTATATAAAATACAACGTCAAAAACTTCTGGGCCCACTTGGATAGGCAAAGTCAGCTCACTGAAGACAGACCTCCGAGTACCATCGAAAGCACGTACAACCAAATCACTGGGTGTACAAGTAATTCCTCGAGTATCTAGCTTCATAAGTGCCTTCTTTGGAAGCACATTCAAAGATGACCCTGTGTGTTGCACCCTAATTTTTGACCACGAGATACCACCTCTTTTTGCGCATTTTTATATTATTTGACTTTATTTTAGCATTTACGTTTTACAACTATTATTACTAATATTATAGTTATTCCCCTCATATTTATTATCATTATGCTATCTATTTTATTACTAACATTACGCTTGAGCTATTATTGGATCATTACACCGAAAACATCCTTGGATGCGCTTTCCGATTACATCTCAATCAGGATTGGTATCTTATAAGTCAAGATTGTTAGCGAAGAGGGGTTTGGATTCAAAATGTGAAGGCCATCCAGTTGGGCTCTAAATTCGACACCCACGTCCTAATTAAGTGATGCTAAGGACACATAGAAAGCACAAAGAAGGCAATACCACCAATATAAGTTCATCTGTCAATTGAACCTAAACGGCAGTTTCAAGCAAGGAATTTAATGAAAAGAGGAAAGACCGTGTATGAGCTGCACGTCACTATTAACGTCGGATAGCATGAGTAAGCCTTGTCCGGTATTTACGGTGGCCTTGGACTTCCACAACATGATGCCACCAAAGCTTGAGCGAACCAGTAATAGTCCTACAGTACACTGAGGGTTGGGTTCCTTAAAATACTTTCTTTTGTTGAGGCTATGACTTATGTCCTAATATCAGTATATGACATACAAGATTTCTTAGTTCTGAATAACCCATAACAGTAACATTAGATACATTTATCTTCACATCACTAGATTTCACAATTTTTTTTTTGGCACGAAGTGGTGTTTGAGAAGGTGTGGAGCACACCAAACGTTGTTTCAATAAAACAAACAAATGACATATGAAGGTGTTGTGCATTCTTAAAACCTGCTTCGCAATTAAGGAAACTTTACTTGCACACTAAGGATGCGTGTCAAACACTGTACAAGAGGACACGGCAGTACACTGGTGAATTACTATCATTATCCTTAGAAGATTATAATTTACAACCAATTAAACAAACTGTTACTTTGCTGTTGGCATTCTAAAGTACAAGTTTTATTCAATTTGAATCTCCTGCGGCGCAACTTCGGTAATTGACCCTTCTGCATTAGTTTCTTCTACACTGATATCAGAAGCTTCGACAGTCCTGGTAACCCGTTCGTTGAGAGGCCCCTCGTTCAAATTAAGCCTTAAATCCCTGCAAACTAGGAGAGAGGCATAATATCAGAGCAGCAGTTAGCACCATCATATTTTCAGCAGTAAAGTGAATGAGTAATCATGTCAAAAACAAAGCAAGGATCATTACCATTTGGCATTCAACACTCCATGTTTCGAAAGCGATGCTTGAACCTCTAGCAACTGCCAAACTCCCATCTCATACTTCAACAGCGACTACTCTAGAACAAGACTCCCCAAAAGAGAAACCGCCATATTGGTCGACAATCCAACCTGTTATACCTAACACGACCCTGGCTCGACGCGACTAAGTCTTTGCAGAAAGCTTTCTCAATGAGTACCTGCATTTCAACAGAAAGTGAATCTAGGTGTTTCATGCACATGAGGTTTTAGCAGCCACAGAGAAGCAGTTCAAAATGGAAAGAATCGTCTAGCATTTAATCATGAAAGTTACATTTCTACAAGAAGAGGAAGAATGATAAGGATCAGCAACTGAAGAGACAGGGAGGTGCATTGGAGATGTTGACAGGACAAATTATAACAGGGACGATGAAATTACGACTACCAGAGAAATTACTAGTGAACTAAAGAATAGAATTACCGTGCGAGATACCGTAGCCTTGAAGATCATGTTAGTAATGGTGCTATCGGTGTTGTTGCGCTAGCTGAATCACTTATTGAGCACGCCAAGAGGCTTTTGGGAACGTGGAAGTTTACCCCATTAGGATTGCTGAGGGATACGAAACGGCTTCCGGAATTGCTGTTGAACATATGGAACAAATTACTAGTAACTTTGAATTCGGAAACTGTTTTGGAGCCTCTAGTTCAGATTTGTATAACCACGCTGTCATCCAAAACTGTGAATCACTACAAGATAAAGCTATAGGAAATCAAGAGCAACGCAACCTGAAACCTGCAAAGTTAAAGTTTAACATTATTTATAAACAAACCAAACGGATAACATGTCGAAGGATGTGCTCCACAAAGCTAATAATAGTAACGATGATATCTCTAACCACGCCCACTGCAACAACTTTTGCCTTGAATAAAGAATTGAGCCTGCAACAACGACATTACGACCGAGGTTTATCAGCCTATTTTGAGTGTCATCATCATAAGTACGAGGTCCCCAGTCTTCATCACCAGCTTCTCCGTGGAGTTCCCCAACATACATGTCAAACTCGAGCTTCTCCAATTTGGGTTTCTCAACCACCTCCTGGCCCATAGCAACCGCTTACCTCCTCCCTGGCCCAACAAGTCGCGTTCGCTATCCGCACCTGCAAAGCACCTATCAAACAGCAGGATAAGTTAGCAAGTTATGAGGGAATATTCCAAAAGAAATCCAATCAGATCCAATCTCAATTTGGACCGCAAAATCAAAGAATTGAATTCCAGTTAATAGCTATCGTCTGAATTAGGAAAGATTTCAAAATTTTGTGTAAGCTAAAATGGAAAGAATCAACCAGCTCTTCAAGGCAGCAATCAATTCTCAAATCAGAAAATCTCAAACGTAGAGCCTATATAAGAGGATCGAGGCTACAAGAAACGGGACTCCGAGAATACGAAGCCGATAACATCGAAAAACCCTAGAACTACCAAACACCGAACTCGTAAACGCAAGAAACAAAAAGAGAGAAGAGACTTATCTTCTGATTGACGAAGTCTACCTCCAGCCGCTGCAACCCAAGCCCGCGAAACACCCATCGACGTCTCCGGCGCCGCCGTCGCTGTTCATTGGTAAAGCTTCGTTTCCTCCGCAATAATCCTCGAACCTATTGATTGTTTGTTTCTCTGTTTCAGGTTTAAGGGGGATCGAAACCGTGGAAAGGTTGTGGATTAACGATTTGGAGACGATTGGAGGGGAAAGGGGGGACCTAGGGTTCCACTCTTCAATTTTCGTTTTGCTTTTGTTCTTTTCTGTTTGCTTATCTGTGCAACTACCACTTAATTACACATAACATCACTAATCACACACACATAACCCTAATCAACCTTAATCAATTTTTTTTTTTACGTTAATTAACCAGTTTTTTAGTCTTTAGTATAATCAGATTTTTAATTAAAATAATTAGCAACCCTTTGATAGCCTTTCAT